CAGACACTCTCATTCAGGACCGCACCCTGAGAGAAGTAGAGAAAGGGAAAGTGAGGAACGCACTCCGTCACTGCGGCTATCCGGACTGGGCCCTTAGAGAAGGTGACACCAGAAAAACACAGCAGAGGAACCACAAGGACACACAACGTGGAGACAGGGGACAAACACCCTCCAGCTTTGCTGTACTCCCTTACATTAAAGGGACTACAGAAAGACTGAAACGAGTGTTTGCCAAACACAACGTTAGCCTGTTTTCAAAACCAGGCTACACCCTACGGAATGCCCTGGTGAGCCCGAAAGATCCTTTAGATCCGAGTGAAAAGTGTGGTGTCATTTATAAATTTGTCTGCGAACACTGCGGTGAGACGTATGTGGGAGAAACAGAGAGATCGCTGGGGGAAAGGTCAGGAGAACATCAGAAGTCAATTGACCGTAAGGACTACAAGTCTGCACTTAGTCAACACCAGTTACAGACTGGACATAGGGTCACCACCCAACCTATACTAGACACGATCGAAATTATCGACCAGGAAGCCCGCAACGCACATCGGAAGATCAAGGAGGCCATACACATCCAACTAGTGGGAGCCAAGCTGAACCGCAACGAAGGCTGGGAGCTGCCTAAGCCCTACCTACCTCTACTCCGCAAGGAGGCAGAGGGGGGCAGAAGATCCACGCAAGTCTCGTCCTAGTCTCGCGTTATCTTGCGAGACTAGGATCATTCCGTGACCAAGACGAACTGACTAGTCGTCGAAAATTCGGAGGTATGTACCTTAGGATTAATAGTCACTGATTGAAAGAATTATTTTACTGAACTAGTTTGTAGAAGATATATATGGATGTCAAGACTGCCTGTGTATACTGTGCAGCTCATCTTCGCCTCTTTCACTCATTTAGCTTAACTCGATCCTCAGAAATTACGTAACTCATTATGCAGTCAGTGCAACGTTGTTAACACATGCTGACGTCATCTCATGTTGATCTCACAACAGTGAAAATTGAAAATCCAAAATGGTGGCCCTGATATTTACAAGTAATTTCCGTTAAATCTCTATCCGCCACTTGTGTGTGTTACAACTTTTCTGGCAGGATTACATGGTATTTTACCGCCTGTATATTATGATGACATGAAAATGATAGGAAATACAGACGACAAATTTCTCGGAATCATAAAAACGACAAGACCTACTAAGATGTTCTAAAATATACGGCGTTCTTTGGAAAACACATCAAACCTCAAACGACGGCATTGAATTTTTCATCGCTCCAAGCTCCAGATGACCCGCCCTGATTGAAGTAAATCCAGCCTATGTACGAGCAGCTTCCCGTAAAGCTACTATTTTATATCCGTCACGTTTGGGGTGATACTTGGGAATCTGCCGAGCACACTTCATGTTACTAGTACTAGTATGTCCTGAGGAGACCCTAGTTGTGATGCGAGGATTGGAAAAGATCTGTTTGTCTTGTTTGGCGACAGGAAGTGTCACGACAGTCATGTATTCGAATTCGTTGAAGTTGTTGCTACAACAGATAGCTTCGCCATATAAAATTCACGTTCCTGTTTGGCGTTTGCCGTTGTTAAATTCACCTGGTTTATTATTTCAACAGGAGCGGACAACTCAGATCAGATCAGTCTGACATCCCTCTGTATCGGTAAAACACTATATAACTTCTATAGTGTTTTACCGATACTGAGGGATTATATATAGTTGAACTATATTTTATGTTCTTAACAACGTCAAACATGGGGGAAAACAATAACACTGAAATCACGTATGTACTATTGCTAAGACAGTGTTTGAGTTTTCACAATTTTTCTTACTCTTCTGGAAGATTGTTCCACAGTAGGCAATGCCAATGCTACAAGCTACCTCCAAATGACATCCGCATTAGTATGTAGACAGTGCAATTGATTGCTTGGTTGATGGAGTTCAATGAAGACTTACTGCACAAAACAAGCCGACATGATGGTTATTCATAATGTATCGCTGTGAGTACTTTGCTGCACAATGCAATCCAACCAATGACAGTATACTAGTACTCACTATCATGAAAATTCATCTGTGTTGGTAGTAATCATAGTAAAACTTTACTCCAACACACAATTGTACAGGAATCAAATTTTCAGCGACACTTTTGATCAATTACTCACGTCACGTATCAGTAAAGTCTCGGGTGAATAAGGTCATGTGTTTGTAACCGTAACTCTCGTGAGATCACGTTGTGAAGTGATTGGTCATTAATTATCTTGATGAAGGCGACAGTGGTCGCTGAAAAGTTGATCCCTGTACAATTGTGTGTTGGAATAAAGTTCAACGTTTTACTAAGTATACTCACTATTTGGCGCTGTCGTTCAGCTGATATTCGTTGGCCCTACTGAAGCACTCCTGCACGCCTTTGTCCGCCCACAGCCTCTTCATGGCCGTCAGCAGCTCGGGGGAGAACGGCTCCGTGTCCTCCATTCTCTGCACAACCTCGAACACCAACTTGGCGTCTTGCTGCAGGGGAAGGGAGAGAGACGCGACGCGTGTTACCATGGTGATAGCATTGTTTGTTCATTTATTTGTTTATTTTTATTTGCACATACATATAAAACAAAAAAATACAGAAGAAAATATAATAATCGAACGAAACATAATATAAAATAATTAACCTAAACAGAATGGATGTGCTGGAGGAGGAAAAAAGCCTCAGGGCTTATTCTTGTCCTCCTCCATTTGACTTAAAAGCATAATAATGATAATAATAATAACAACAACACAACAACAACAACAATAATAATGGTAAATAAACAACATATGAAAAATAGAAAGTAAACTCATTTCCTACAACAAAATTAAATGGTGATATTACAAATGTTACAAAATTATCTCTCGGCAGAAAAGGAATCTAATCTGTGCTAGTAAATGTCGTACTAGGATCTAGGAACGTAGCCCGTCTAGTTCAACACATGGTTAAAACAGGGCTACCAAGTTTGTCCTAAGTACAGACTTCCTTTGACCTACTACTGCAGTCAACAGGGGTATATGGCTACGCTCACTTGGTGGTTTATTCGGTGGTTATCGCACCTGACCAGGAATTATCTCATCATATACACCTCGGGGCGGGGCATTAACCCTTTATTAACCGTCAGGACCAGAAGGGTGTGATGGCCATTCAGCACCAGGGAAATAACGCTAAATATACTTCACCACTCAATGTACAGTAGATCATTCAGGTCAGATCAAAACTTTATTACCACACGTTCAGCCAATCTTACGCAATTGCCCCGTTCCGTTTTCACAGTGTGGTATAATGTTGCCTTTTCAATTAGCTTCAAGTGGAGGCAAGACAGTTTCATTTCAGACAACGTGGTGTCTGTGAGCAGAGGCGCATGCGTTGTTACTGAGGCCTGTTCCACCATGTCTGTGTAAGGGACCTTGACAGTTCTCGCCTTGTGTGCTTACCCGGGGTCTCATTTTTCTAACGAGGTCCCCACCAAGATGTTTCTCCATCCAGCTGAGCCTGTGATAAGGCCACAGCAAGTAAATTTTATGGATGACATCAAATCTAATGCGAGACCCCAAATCTAATGCGAGCGGGCGAAAAAAAACAAGGCGGGCCGAAAAAACAAGGTTCCTGCATTTTGACTCAATCATGGTTTTGATTCATTGGGAACACCACACATACAAAGCCAGCATCACATGTCACTGCATCAAAGTAAGAAACAAAACATCAAATCAGAGCCTTTTCTTGTCTCCTCTCTTCATAGTTATCTGCCATCCACCTTCCGGCATGGCAACAGGCATCTTTCCCCATTTTCGGCATGTTGACCACTATTAGAAGGCAACAAAATTTATTGTTTTTTCCCCAAAGTCAGGCGAAAATTAAGGCGCGCGCTGATGTCATCCATAAAAATTACTTGCTGTGGCCTAATTAGCATGCATGAGACGTCTTCCCGAAAGGTGAAAATGTCGAGAGCGTTTTATACGTGACAGGGCAGCTGTTAACAGCTTGTACCTCATGACCTCAGAGAAAAATGGTTGCAGGTTGCAGATTTGAGTATCTCATGAATTCTCAACAAAGGCTGAAACAGACATATCAGACATCTTTTCTTTCGAAGGAGTCATGGTGGGAAGCTGACCTTGAAGCAAATGTGGAAAAAAATAACACATTCAGTATAATTATATATTCAGCTGTCGCAGTTATGAGCAATTCACTCAAATGATCCAAGTTCAGTGTCAACCAATTATGCTTCAAGGAATGAAAATGCTTTTAAAAATCGTGACACTAATTCGTAATTCAGACTACATAATCAGATTCCAACAATCCGCCATCATCCTCCAATACACATTATCAACTTAAAATTCAATTCACCTCGTTGCCAGATCGCGATGTTATCAAGTAGGTAACATTAATAAGCCTCAAGTAATATCCACTTAAAAAGTCTGCCTCAGCACTCAGATGTGACAAGTTGTAATAGCGTTAAGAATAACGGAAACCAGCACAGTACACAGGTATTCATCAGGGACTAATTACTGGTGCTTTGTAGTTGGAGAGCACTGTCGACTGATAACTTGACGTACTGAACGAATATGGAAGTCTTGACACGTGTAATCTTTTGCGTAACGTCTGCAGCATAATCCGCTTAATGGAATAAGTAGATCAGCTTCGTAATGTGACCTTGCTGCGTCGTGATTCCCTTCGGGCTTCATTTGAAAACAGAGGGGTACATGGAATAATATGATAGCGCTGTATGGGACCCTCACCACATAGGAGCACATCTCAAAGCGCGAAACAGTTCAGAAAAGAAATGTACAATATATGGTTAATATTGTACATTTGGGAATGCATCTGTAGCAGCGACACCTGTTCTGCAATGCAATTTGAACCAGCCAGAATTGCCCTGAGGAAGGTGACAGATGGTCACCGAAACGTCGGCTGAATAAAAGACTTGGTTGTGTAAAAAGAGTCTCTTTACTCAGCTCAGAAAAGAGCTGCCAGATTTGTTACTAATACGTATTCCACACACGACAGCACCGCTAAGCTTGTTTCTGATCTAGGGTGGGACACATCACAAAGCAGAAGGATAGCTAGTAGACTCACAATATATTACACAAAGCAAGACACACACAAAATGACCCTACTGGTTACAACTCAATCGCGATACACCTACCCGGGTTCGCTATAAGACACTACCGTTTCACAAAAACTGTAACAGATACTCCTACTTCCCTCAGACCGTCAGGGATTGGAACGCGCTTCCTCAATCCATACCTGAAATCTCAGAGCCTGACAAGTTCAAGGAAGCCGTACTACTGCACCTGATGAGACATTAAGGGCGCAGGGCACTCCCCCCTGTGCGTCTTACCCCAACAGAGGCGTGTTGCTCAGTAACTATTCAAGATCAAGATCATTGCAACGAGCGTTTACCGAAGCTTCGCAGAAGGATATTGTTTTTGCTCTGTTTCTTCTTCAAATAAGTAAGGTCAATGGCCTGAACCAGACGTCTGTCACCATGGTAACTAGTGTTGGATTACATCATGTTGCAATTTTACAGCAGGAGGGACTTACACTCCTGTCACCATGTATGCATGTGTTTGAGTAAGAATGAAGAGAGCAGACCATATGAACAGGTGGTCAGCTTATAGCGTAAGAAATCCACGACTTGTGACGTTCCCTTGCTTGTTATTCCGTAATAAGTTCTGAGATGACCCCTCCCTCGCCGCTGGGTGCGAATCTGTCGTGACGCACGGTATCCCAACATGCACCGCACACCCGCTGTGCCGCCATTATGCCTGCCGGCCTTCATAATTACGTTCTTCCTACAGAAATATAACCTTGATTGAAGATTACACCATGAACCAACGTTACATTTGAGACAGGTTTTTCACAGTAACAGTGTAAAAATTATCACCTTTGCACATATCTTCCCCGATCTAACATTATGCAACCTCGACACACCACCTGTTGTAGGTTCTGACATTTCGTTCCGGCAGAATCTTACGTGGGTACATGAATATTGAGAAACTTTGTTCGAATTCATTGTTGAGTTGGGAATCTACAGAATCATACAAGACCTACGAATAGCAAAGTTCTTTGATCACAACCATTTATTTTTTACGAGCCGACGTTTCGACGACCGTCTGTCATCTTCATCAGGACTGGTTTGCTGTGCACTACAAGACCTAGTTTGGGAGCCATCCGTTTCTGACCCAGTGAGCTCAAGGAGCCCCATTACAAAATGGATGGCACCCAGGCTGTACAGGACCGACTTCTACTTCCTAAAATAACCTTCACTTTTACCTGAATCCAACCGTGACGATTGCATGATCTCAAATATTTTTACTGTTCTGTTTCGGATAAGTCTCCACGGTAAAATGGCAAGGATCAATATGGTGTATGCATTTTTGGTGGATTCAATGCTTTTTTTTAATTGAAACATACAGTGACAAGACGTGGTGGCGACACACTCAAGTTACACTTATATTCATGTCGCCACCAAACATAATACAAGCAAGCAAAGCACGGGTTTTCATATTAGAGGGTCATATATGAAGCCATCTACCATTTGGATTCAATGCTTACGAAATGCAACGGGTTAGAGAAATTTGAGAAAGGTAAACACGTATTTCAAGTTGATTCTTTCCGCTCGGAGGATGCTGTTCAAAATATCTCCGTGTAGAGTGGTTCGTCCTTATGGATTATGCATTAGCGGATAATATAAACAGACGGCATGAGCTATTCTACAGTAATTAGTGCAACCACATACGTTAGTGCGATCGTGACAAATTCAGACGACACTTTGGTAGAAAGTCAGAGGGAAATCAGAGGAAATACGCTACCTTACATAACATCACTTTGACTTTGAAGGCTGGCTTTCTAAAGCATGTATATATATGGGGAACGACAAGATCTTTTCAATCTCAATGACCTGCCACTGTGCCTTATACATCATAACATGAAAGCAACAAAAACCTCAAATCAGTCAGGGACTATATGTAAATGTAAGTCTATTTCTTTTTTGTCAACAATTTTGTCGCTCTATGTTTATCTGACAAAGAGAATTTATGTCATTTATTATCCTGCCTGAACAATTCATCTCTTTTCAGCCCTTTGTAATGTACAACCAAAACCTGAAACCAGTCACCATGAGGCGCTATATGTATATGTAAGTCTATTTCTTTTAAGTCAATAATTTTGTCGTTCTATGTTCATCTGAAAAATAGAATCTATGTCATTTATTATCCTCCCTGTACAATTCATCTCTTTTCAGGCCATTGTAATGTACAGCGGATGTACCATTCATCTCTGAATGCTTCAATTTTCATTGTGTGGATGTGGATAATTTGGGTCGCTAAATAGTCGTACTCTGCCTGGAATAAGCCATGATCTGTCTTTCAGCCATTGATCCAGAAGAGGCATAACGTTTATCGGCTGAGCATAATCATCACAATTCCGATCGAACTTCCTCAAACCGACCATCAATTCAAACGCAATGCCAATAACCGCATCTGAT